CCCACCGCCCCCCCCAAGACCTCCACCATGTCCACCACCTAGACCACCTCCAGCACCCCCACCATGTCCAATACCACCACCTAAACCACCACCATGACCAATGCCACCACCTAGACCGCCACCATGTCCACCATTAAGGCCAGCTCCTCCTAGGCCACCACCACCTCCAAGACCTCCACCACCACCGAATCCACCTCCTGCACCACCTCCAAGGCCGCCGCCGCCCCCTACGCCTCCACCAAATCCACCTCCAGCACCACCTCCAATGCCGCCGCCACCCCCTACTCCTCCACCAAAGCCACCACCCGCACCGCCTCCAAGTCCACCTCCTGCACCACCTCCAAGGCCACCACCACCCCCAGCACCTCCACCAAAGCCACCACCAGCACCACCTCCAGTACCACCACCAAGTCCTCCACCTGCACCACCTCCTATGCCGCCACCACCAAACCTACGGCCTTGTATAAACCCCTTCTTCAACAAATGGGGACGACCCAACAAGTGCTTATCGTCTTTGTCACCAGTAGTAACATGATCAGCCACAACTAAAGCATTCAAAAGAAAAGCACACAAGAGAGCCCTCACAACACGGTGACCAGTTACAAGGCCCATTTTGCTAGCATAAACTTACAAAACCAGCAGAGAAGGATTAAAAAACCCTTAAGCTAGCAAGCAAAGCTAACTTTGTAGATGTGCAACAAGAGGGTGTAGTATACACATGTATATATACTCATAAGCAGAAAGAGGAGAGATAGTGTGCATTATTTGCACTCAGCATACACTATACAAGATAGATCCGGAATAACTCTTTAACTGTCACGCGTTTACGAGAGTAAATGAGACCTGTCTGTTATTGGACAATGAATTTATTAGTCCAACTGTCCTCTCCAACAAGCTCAGTACCGACTCGGTAATGAACGAATTATGATTGTATTCTGTTGCTTGAATAAGATTAGCTTAGGGTTTTTGACTTGATGAGTGACTTCATAGAGCTTACTGTTAGATGCTAGTGCTTGAGCTGGCTAGCTAATTTTTTTTTATATGAAATTTATGAAAAGGATCAAAACCAATAAATCTCATTCAATGATGCAATTAATGAACAAACCAAACTGGGTTCCCAGCCACGAGTACTGTCTCTCTCTTTCTCACGACCTAGGTGGCCCAGATTTTAACCCGCTTGGAATTATATAATTATATGATCAATATATAGAGCTGGTTGTATCCAGTTCGATAAAGAAGATATGTATGAGTCCTATGACTTTCAATATCGATTTCATAATCAAGTTGCAGTAGCTAGCTAGCTTGCTCATGCAAGTGCCAGAATATTGAATAGGTCTGCTATAACTACGTAGAAGTGTAGTCTGTGGCACTCTTATAATGATTTTAGTGTAAAAGATAAGGTTTAAATAACACCATGCGGCATTTAATTAAATCATGAGCAAGAAAATGCTTATCCATGCATGCCAATTTCTATCTAAAATCTGGTGTTACATCGCGTGCCTGTTCTTTCCTCTCCCGACATGCGTGCCAACACACACTTAAAGTTCTGTTCATTGGTAATTGACTTTAATCGTCTTAATTCTTATAACGTAATCTTATATATTTGGATTCAACTCTCGGGGTGGCACGCATATCTAATTCTTATACGATCTCATTTGTGGAAGTATCGTATAAGCTTTCTCCGTGTTGTTGTCACTAACTGTGAGCACGGTGCCTTTTCTTCTTTTGCACCATAAGATTTTCTCGCGGTAGATATATATAGAAACTCAATCAATTCTGGTGTGATTTTGACTTATTTCGAAGATATTAGTAGGATATGCCAGCTAATTAAGCGGGCTAATTTCAATGGATTAATTTTCATAATATGATTAGAGAGGATAACATTAGATGATTTGGGAATTGAGAATTTGGGAGCTGGTGGGTTACCCATTTGTTTATAGTTTAGATTAAAAAATAAAATATGAAGATTAGTGATGATTTATACACATTAACTAATAAAAAAAAGAGTTTTTAGTTATAAAAGGACTTTATTGAAAGACAGTATTGAAGGTGTGTAAATTAATGATATCTAATTAATCAAACTATTAAACCACAATAAAATTTTAATAAAAGAGACCCTGAAATCATTTAAAAAAAAAATTGCTGTCTTGTTTCTTCACACACACACACAACAAAACGCAGTATAATCTTAAATGATGGTTTAAGACAAACCTTAAGAAAAAAAAAAACAATTCTCTCTACTTAACCTTGTCTCTTCTACTTATACTTTTCATTCTGAAACATAGCATCACTCCTCAAAACAGAAATAACTTGTCAAATTAGTGACAAAAACCACACGACAGTACAGTTCAGATGTGCATGCCATGCTATCCTGTTCTTGCCATGTAACTCGATCGAGGCAAATTATTAAATGCATTGACTGAGTACAAAGTTACTGACATTTATTTTCCCACAGCGTTTTTAAACATACCTCCACAAGTCACTCGACGCCTCGCCATAACTCGATCACGAGGATGGTTATTTTGAATTAGTTATACCTGAGCTGCAGTTTTCAACATAGCTGCAACACTTGACCAGGGAATTAATGAATTGGAAAAAAGATCCTTTGATTTTAGCAGTCTGAGAAAGATCTGTATTGTTACGTTATTTGACTAATTTAGATTAATTGTTTAATAGAATTTGGATTGAATTAACAATTAAAAAACAAATCCGAATTAAATTTTAAATTCTATTTTCTCGAATCAACTTATAAAAGCTATGAACATGATTTCAATATGTTTAACTTTATTTTGGCTAGATTTAGTTACAATATCTTTCTTCCTTTTTTCTTCAATCGGATGCGTGTAGAATGGGTCACAAAACCATAACTTTGAATCGTCTGTTACCAGATGTTGTCCAACTCATAATTAGTATTTATTGTTTTGAATCAAACAGGATGAATAATTTATGCTCATTCATGTGATGGTGAGGAAAGGTAGTTAATTACTTAGACAGGCGCCCACGTCTTAATTTGCAGATAAATTAAATTTAGTAAAATAAAATCGTCACAAATTAATTAAATCAAAGTACTGGAGCCATAATAAAATATAATGTGATGTATAGAGAAACTTAAGCAGTAATTGTTGCAGTGAACAAATAGCAACAATGACAGTGAATCAACATTGCTAGTACCAAGCTAATATAAAGGAAAAAGTTCTACCCAAAATAAAAGAAGCAAAAGTTCAGAGGTGCTGGGGAAGCTAGTGAAGAAGCAATGGCTTTGATTGCTCAGTGTTCTACGAGCAAAACTCCAGATATTGATGTCAATAATCTATTTTCTAGCTTCCCGACAGATATATTGAAAGGTGAAGAACTAGCCAACCTGTGACCAATCGATGTTGCGAAGTGTAATCGGCAAGGCTGGAAAGGCATTGATGACAATTGTATTCTTGTTAGTTTCATGTTCAAAGCACTGGATTCATTTGTGATTTCAAAACTAGATTTTATTTGTATTTGGCCAGCCTGCCCTCTTTCTCTGCCAAAGCACTGTTATGAGGGATAACTACTGTTTTTTAAAGTAATTTTCATTTAAAAATATATTAAAATAATTTTATTTTATTTTTAAAAATTTATTTTCAAATCAATATATAAAAAATTATCCAAAACATTTAAAAAATTAAATTTAAGCAAAGAATAAATAAATTTTGATCAAGCAAACTTCTAAATTAGGATAAAAGGCTTTTCTACTAAACCAATATGTGAGTCTTCTGATCTTGTGAACTAAAAAAAAAGGAGAGAGTCATAATGTTGAGTCATATTGATTCAATTTATTAACTTTAACTATAAACTAAAAAATAATGAATTTTTTTCCTCTCTTCTCACGAATCATTATTAGAATAGTGTTGACTTTTTATAAAATATATATATTAATTTTATTATTTAATTTTTAATTTTTTTATTAAATTATCACTCTTGTGACATAAATCACAAATTTAACAGGTCAACTTGATTGATTAAGGATTTTTTTCTTACTTGAATTTATTTTTTTAATTTTATCATTTAATATTATATTGATTGAGAATTAAACTTCATGATTTATTTTGTTTAATTTCTATTATGTTATTTTATCTTTATGACTTAGGAATAATGCTTAAAGGGTTAACTTAAGTAGACTCAGAATGTTTTTTGTGTCTTATTTTTAATTAATTTATTTTCAATTTTATTGTTCAATATTGGGTCTGTGAAAAATTGAGTTTCATAATTTATTTTAATTTGCTCTTTATGTGGATATCGTGACTTTATAATTAAGGTCATCGATTTTGACATTTTAACCATAATTAAATTGAGTTGTTTTTTTTTTAAGATATTATCTCAGTATCGTGACCCGAGTTATGGGTTCTTCAACATTGAATATTGTTTTTATTGGATTTTCTCCGTCTCATGGCATAAGTTATGAGTTTGATGGGTCAACCCAATTGATTCAGTTTTTTAAATTGTTTTTTTTTTCTTAATTTTATCATTTAATATTATGTTTGATTGAGAATTAAGTTTCATAATTTATTTTAATTTGCTTTTTATTGGGTTATTTCAACTTCATGACTCAAGAATAGTGTTTAACGGGTTAATCCAGGTTGACTTGGCTCATTTTTCTTGTTATTTTTTAATTCAAAGTTTTACAAATTTTATCATTCAACAACTGGATCCGAGATGAGTGATTAGAAATTAAACTTCATAATTTATTTTGATTTGCTCTTTATAGGGTTAACTTAGTCTCATGATCAAAATCACGAATTTAATAAGTTAATCGAAGTTAAATCATGTCATTTTTTTTCTATGAGTTTATTTTAGTCTAATGACTTAAGTCATGAGTTTGGTGGATTGACTCAGGTTATTTTTTTAATTAAATTATTTTTTAAATGATTTTTTTCTATGAGGTTATCTCAGTCTTATAACCTGAATCACGAGTTTGACTGGTTAACTTGGATTTATTTAAGTTTTTTTTCTATTTTTTTGAATTTTATTATTCAATATTAGTTTTGTTGAGAATTAAATTTTATAATTCATTTTATTTTGTTTTCTATGAGGTTATTGTAGTTTCATAACCCGGGTCATAGATTAAACATGTTAACCCGGGTTTATCCAAATCAATCCAGTATTTATTATTTTAATATTAAAAAAAATATCTTCTTCAATTTTTTTAGTCAAATTATTTCTTACGATATGTATGGATTGCTTTTAGACTAGTTAATTCAACTAAATTATATTAGTTCAATTCTTATAAAATTAAAAACAAATTATGCTATAAAAAATATCAATAACTTTTAAATATTTGTTTTATATTAAAAAAATGGAGTAACTTCTAAATATTTTTTTATGTTATTTTTTTTTTACTCCATCTGCAATATATCGCGTACCAACCATCCCATGGATCATTACTGTGTGTACGCGTAAATAACTTGGTTATTGATGCGTGTATGTGTAGTCTATTCTCCGAAGGACAGACGATAACTATCAGCTAAAAAAATGGTAAAATTCTTGTATTTACCGAATCTGAAGAGTAAATACTTTATTTTTCAACCGGGCAAACCTAGAAAAAAAAAAAGAAAAACTCTTTTAATTATATAGATAGTCATAGCTTTGAATCTAAACTATTTTTTATATCAATTTTACCATAAAAAAATTTAAAATTCTCAATTAAGGACTTTCATCCATTTCAATATTCTTCTAACAAAAAAATCCTTGATCGAGAAATCAATATAGAAGTTAAATCAACGATCCTAATGACGTGATATGAA